GGAGTAAAAACAAAGAAAGATATTAATGTAAAATAACACAGAAATATTTTTATTGTATCAATCAAGTAATTATGAAAAGCTAAAACTAGCTAAGACCTGCAAATTGCAGTAAAAAAAAACAAAAAAAAAACGTTTTAGTTCCTGAAAAAACAGGAAATGCTGACAAAAATCACATGCTAGGTACGCCAATAATGCTAAAGCACCTGTGTTGGCAGACTTTGACCATCTTTGACCCACGTGTTGTTGGTCTTAGCTCCTTTGTTAAGATGCAATTCTTAGGTGCACGGTTTCAAACCCTGAAATGGTCCATTCTAATCACACAGTACTCTACTGCAGTATCAACAGCTGAAAACGTTAAATAGCTAATGGCTCAGCCATTATTAAATAGTGAAGCATCAAAACAGAGCAGCACACCCTCGTGGTTACTTCTACAGCGCTTGACACTATTAATGCTACGGACGAGGCTCCCCTCTTAAAACACCGACTATGTAAGTTGGGATAAAACGTGCCGTCATTGGCCAGGTCACCTGACCTGGAAGAACGTATCGCTTTGTGGCCACAGGATCTTCTTTAGTTATGGAACTAAGGCTTTTGCACTACTATTTTTCTGGCTGCTCGGCAAATGGTCATGGCTGAGGCACGGAAAAAATTTAAACCTTCTGAGGCTAAAAAGAGAAAACTTGAAAGGAATCGTGCACGCCGAAAAACAAGAGTCGACCTTTGAAAGGAGTTGAAACAGGCTGAAAGAAAAAGCCAGATGTTAAACCGATTCTCTTTCCTCAACTTTATTATTAGACTGGTGAGTTAAAGCTTTGCTCCAAGTATACAGTTATATATCTTTGTTACTTTTTTCAATGTTTAGTGGAAACCAAGCCGGCCTGCCCCAGCAGTGCTCTCCAGAGAGCAGCAGGGTTTCTCACGTCCCCCAAGGCAAACCAAGACACCTAGGTCTCCAATCAAAAGACATGGGAGGCTGGCCGGCTGACTTTTTGTTGACTTTTGCGACAGCACTGTGGCGCTTGTGGCCGCAAGGATTGCTAGACGTGAACGTTAAAGGTCTAGCGTTCCTACTGGTCAAAATTTACATGGTGTGCCTTTAAGGAGGCTAACTAGAACACAAGTCAACGTAAACAAATGTTGGAGCCAAAATTAAACTGTCCATTAAAAGCAGTAACACAGTAGTACCTCGAAGCAACCTAACAAGCTGCTGTTATTGATCACTTAAGTAATTATAAAGGAAATTTATTTTAAAGAAATAAATTGTATAAGGCTGCTGTTGAATCCATTTTCATGGGCAAGATATTTATTTAGATTGTGAGAACTAGGATAAACCAGCCATTAGAAGGGTGCCCTGACTTTTTTTCTCTGCTAAAAACACATTAGTGTTGATATCCTTGTTTAATGTGGTGAATTTCGGTTTTTTTGGTTTTTTTAAGAGCAATTCAAACTGTTTTTATTTAGATACAGGGGGAAATATACATTCTGGTCTTCTGAGCACAGCTTCAAAAAACTCTCTATAATTACTTTGACACCTGACAAGTCACAGTAATTATAGAGAATTGTGGCTGTAATGAGATTCAGGAGAAGATCCACCCATTGTGGGTGGAGCATACCTAAATAGCCATTTTCTACTCTTGGTTACTATAAATGTCCTGCCCCTGCTGCAGACGCCTCAAATATAACAACAATGTTCTCATAGATTACCTTGCTGACTGAATCTTCCTTGCTCGCCAGGTGAGCGCTGGGTTGTGCTGCGGAGTCTGCACACCACTGGTACCCGGACGGGTCACTATCTTGTAGCGTGTCCTGAACACTCGCTTGGAGGCGGGGCTTAGATGGGATGTAGAGACAGTATCTGTGGACAGCAGTAATAAGGAATGGATGAGTCTGACCACACACAAAAACAGAGGCCGCAGTAAAATGTATCCAGTCAGCACATCAACAAATGCACATTCCCATCATTTCAAACACACACACATACACACATACATATACACACAGATTTGAAGACTCTGGCAGGTGTGCTCTTTAATAAGCTTCACATATAAAAATGAAAGGGAATAACAGAGGCAGAATTTTTATGAGTCTAATAAATCATTTGCTCTGTCTTTCTGTGCTGTGCCTTCATCCCTCCTGCCCTGCCTCCCTCCTTCCTTCTCACTTTAAGTCTCATTTGTTATATCATTTTACAAATCCATCAGTGGAGAAGCAGAGGACTAGAGCGATTGGAATCGGGGAAAAAGAGGGGCCCCATGTGTTTTTATTTATTTATTTGTATGCATATCCATCATGTTGTTTTATGAAAGCCTGGCCTGGATGACACACTGAGACAAAAAAATGAATTTGCATTGTGGATAATCTGAGGTCCTGTGTACATCAGTTTACCAACAGAGAAGACTTCCCAGAAGCAGTGAGTCTACTGGAGTCCAAACTGTAAAGCTGGTAAAAGAAAGCAATTGTTTTTGTTCTTTTTAGTTACTGACACCTTTCTTTGCATTTGGTTGCTTCTGGTTTATGACACATAACACTGCAGCAACCCACAAGTTCTATAAACTGTTTAGTCAGAACATGCTGGACTTTGTCAAACATGATCGAGTTAATTTTTTCTAAACATTTTAACAACTTAGATTGAATCAGGCTAAAGTAAAGTAAAACTAAAGAATTTATATATTAAAACATCCTGTATGAGTTACAATCACCTGTAGCCCCAATTGTAGCACTAAAACTCGACAGAAGGCTTAATAATGCAGTAATTGAAATTTGAAAATTTAAAATAGCTATTTTAACTTCAACTACTTTAAAATTCTTTAAGTTATTCATCTTCTAAACTTTGATCCCCAACCTCCCAGACAGACCTGCTTCTTGACTTGCTTGTAATTCTGAGATTAGACAAGATCCAAAGGCTAACATTTGACAGATTTGAGTGTGTTTAATTATTACAGAGGTTCTGTTCTTGGTATAAAGTATCTTGCTTTCATACATGGAGACTGGCTTTCCAAAATGCAATAATAAACGCCAATAAAAAGGTAAAATTTCTACTTTCAAACCCTGTTTATGTACTTCTCCTGCTTGCCTTTACTCATTCTGAGCAGCAGTTAGAGAAAACATTGGTTCTTCTAATAAGCAAAGCCCGCAGTATTTTCTGAGTGATAAAAGAGGGATAACAGATGAGTTTTTGCACCTGATGACAAGCCCACTTTGTATTCACTTTTGCACAAGTTGTTCATAAACAACACAATCTTAATTATTGCCCAATAACAAAGCATGAAGTATAGAGCTGTGGTAAACAGGCACTAGTTTCATCTGCCAGATAATCCATCTTAGGTCAACGTTTAGCTTTGAACAAACAACAGTCAGAAGCTTTAACCGTCTCCAACACAAGCACATATAAAAGCTTTAAATAAATGTGTTAATATACCATAATCACACCTTTGTGATTCAGGCAGCACTAAAATAACCACCAGTATTAAATAAAGAGTGATCTTGGATTGACAGTCAAAAGGTGAGAAAAAAGCTGACAGCCTTACCGAAGCATTCAGTTGCCAGTGTGAAGGTTTCTTTTAGGCCAAATATAGAAAATAACAATTTTGGCTAATCAGATTTTTTTTTCTTCAAGCAGAAAAAAAAGCTTTGAAATTTTCAATAAGAGTTCAGTTATAGAGCGAGCAGATTCTCTGACATAAACACAATAACAGAAATAGATACGTTTGGATTGAGCAAATTTGACCAAAGATGATAAAATCAAAAACTTACTTAATTCAGATTGTTTATATTTTAAACCCATTCAAAACATTTTAAAGCTAAATATTTTTCTACTTTAAGATTTCAGATGTTTTTTATTAAAATGTGGAATATAATCAAATAAAATGCCATACTGTGGCGGAGTTTAAAGACTCCATAGGAGCTGTGTCGTAAACTTCATTGTAATTGTAAGAGTTAAAGGTAATGTGTTTGTTCCTCAAAGACAAGCACAGTGAAGGAAAAGAGGGCAGTGCTGCTGGTTTGTACTGGATTAGTTGCCAGGCTTTGGGTCCCTTTTTCTCCCACAATCCATCTCTACAACAATGGGTTCGCTTTGGATGTAAAGCCAGATGACAAATAGGGCTTGTCAAAGGTATTGCCATGATTCCCACCTTGCAACACAGTACATGCCCACCCTTAACTTTCTTAACCTGCACTTCAATCTGTCTCTAAAACCTCCCTGAAGACATAATGATGGTTGCCCTGTTTACAGTGTGGACACATAGCTGCTTTACCATGGCTGCTCCTTAATAGCATCTGGATGTAGTGTTTGTCCTACAGTATGTTATATGTGTGTGTGACTTTATGTGTGTGTGCATCTGTCTGCTCCTGTTTTGGCTGTTTTGGAGTAAGGACCATTTTTACAATTTCTCTATCAAATTGAGGACCGTATGCACCAAAAAAAGACGTTTTTCTGGTCTTCAATTCCTATTTTGCTAACAGTTATGTTTAGAACTAATGTGTGAACTGAGTTTAGGGTAACGTCTAGGTATGGTCTACAGTGCCTTGCGAAATTATTTGGCCCCCTTGAACTTTTTGACCTTTTTCCACATTTTAAGTTTCAGACATAAAGATATAAAATTGTAATTCTTTGTGTAGAATCAACAACACGTGGGACACAAACATGAAGTGGGATGAAATTTATTGGATATTTTAACCATCTTCCCTGTCTCTGCCGAATAAAAACAGGCCCAAACCATGATGCTGCCACCACCACCATATTTGACAGTAGGGATGGTGTGTTTAGGGTGATGAGATGTGTTGCTTTTTGGATTGTAGATTTTGCTTTTGTCTGACCAGAGGCCCTTCTTCCACATGTCTGCTGTGTCTCCCATGTGACTCGTGGCAAACTTAAAATAGGATTTTTTTATGGATATCTTTAAGAAATGGCTTTCTTCCATAAAGGCCAGATTTGTGCAGTATATGACTGATTGTTGTCCTATGGAAAGAATCTCCCGACTCAGCTGTAGATCTCTGTAGTTCATCTATAGTGATCATTGGCCTTTTAAGTGCATCTTTGATCAGTCTTCTCCTTGTTTGAGTTGAAAGTTTAGGCAGGCAACCAGGTCTTTGTAGATTTGCAGTGGTCTTCATTTCAATATTATTGCTTCCATAGTGCTCCTTGGGATGTGTAAAGCTTGGGAAATCTTTTGGTATCAAAATCTGGCTTTAAACTTCTCTACAACAGTATCTTGAACCTGCCTGGTGTGTTCCTTTTTCTTCACGATACTCTACGTGCTTTAAACATACCGCTTAGACTATCACAGAGCTGGTGCATTATACTGAGATCTGATTACAAACAGGGGGATTCTGAACTTCTGGCGAGAGTTTGCTGCACTGAAAGAAAAGGGGCTGATTCAAGTTGTACGCCCCATTCTTCTGTTTTTTTATTTAAAATGTCTAATATATTCCGTTACACTTCATGATTGTGTCCCACTTGTTGATTCTTCACAATAGATAACATTTTAATATCTTTATGTTTATGTGGCGAAAGGCAAACACTTTAAGTGGGCTGAATACTTTTGTAAGGTGCTACTATGAGAGATTTGAGATGCAGGGTGATAGAGCCAGTATTTATTTTTTAGCTGAGATCAGACTGATTGTGATATTAATATATCTAGACATCCCTAGTCAAAACATGGTCCTCAATACATATTGCAAGATTTGAGTTTACTGGTTTGTGGGAACCAAAGGCTAGTCCTAATGCGGTGGAAGCCCATTTTTAATGTCATGGTGTCAGTTTAGAGGTATGGTGTGAATTAACTTTAGGTTAAGCTTAGGGTTTGAAATATGCTGCTTATAGTTAGGGTTAGGGGTAATGAAATCGTTAGGCATAAATACAGTAAGTAAAACAAATATGAGTCAATGTAAAGTCTTAATATGGATAGAAATACAAACTGGTGTGTGTGCCTGTATGTGTGTGTTTGAATGCGAACATGGATGGATGGACAGTGCTGCGCTGATTGTAAACCACTGCAGGTTGTGTTGGTTGAGTGGCTCTGGGGGCACTGGGGTCTCAATCTTCCACTGAAGGACCATGACCAATGAGCATGTGAACACAAACTCACACACACACATATACACCTAGGGTCTCAATCTTCCCTTAATAGACCTTTGACAGTGGATTGCCTTGCAAGTGGCACTTGGCTCTGGGAAGACGCATGCAGCTTGCACGCCATCCATCTATCTCCCCTGATGCACCGTGGAGAATCCCCAGATAATCTACTCTTGCTGCCTCACCATGCACTCATTGCTCTGTCTGCAACCAGTCTGCCATGCAGTCTAAAAAAAACGGCAGTTTCTAAATGTTATCCAACTAATCCCTCTACAGGAGGTTTTCTGCCACAGTCCAAGTAAGGGGAACATGGTTTCCCTAGGGACTTAATTTGTTTTTTTAGATCGATAAATATGTTGTCACTAACAAACACAAAATGCTATATTAGCAGTTTCCATGTTTTCTTCTACCAATGCAATTTCTGAAGGATTAAAACCTTTATTAACCTAGGAGGCAACATTCTAATGCAACACAAATAAAACCATCACAATCTGCAAAAACCTACATGAACCCCCATGATTACAGGTCTGATCCTCTTCCATAAAACCAGCTTAAAATCAAGTCAAATGTCTTTAAAAAGATAGTCAAGTGTTTCTTTGTCACCAAATAAAAAAAAAAAATTAAATAAAATAAAAAACAGAGCATCACATAAATGGATCTAAATGTGATGAACTATGTAGTTCCCAAAGATGACTGAATCTAATTCAAACGTTTTGGCCTCGGCTTTGAAAAAAGTTCTGCCTTGCGATCTTTCAGCCCTCTGACTGAGGCGGCTGACA